AGTTGCTGCACGTGGGACTCGGCCTCAGGATGAACGGAGAAGTGGTGCCTCGATGCGCACCCGGGATCCGAACCCGGGCCACCAGCATCGCAGTGCGCGCACTTAACCACCAAGCCACAGGGCCGGCCCAGAAATACATTTTAAAAGACAGTGTTACAATAAAAAAGAATGAAGTATATGAGTCGGTTATTCACAAAAAAATGCAAAATGCCAATAATCATTTGCAAAACGTTAAGCCTCACTGATAACCAAGAAAATGAAAGTTAAAACAATGAGATAACATTTTTACCTGTTAATCAGAAAAGTATTTTTTGACGTTGCTACTTAGACAAGGATTTGAGGAAATACAAGCCACTCATATGGGAATGTACTTCCCGAAAACTGACTCAGCAACCTTTATCAACTGCCATAATGTCTACATATTTGACTTAATTTCACTTGTAGGAATGAATTACTCCAAGTCAATAACTGACGTGTGAAGGTTTGCCTCGAAAGCTGCAGATCTCTGTATGGCCTATGCTAGTGAAACAATTAGGAAAACTGCATCTCCAGTATCAGAAACTGGTTCAGTAAATCCAACTTACACTTGCACAGTTTGGTTACTAGGTAGTCTGTGAAAATTATGTTATACATTGAAATACAGCCATGAAAAAAGGGACTGAAAAAATACTTTATGGAAAACAGACTTTCAGAAAAAAAAATGGGCAGTGAATTGATATTTGACAATTTCCTTCTGTTCCAAATACACCCCAGATTATATGAGAAGAAACAACGAACAGACACATACAAGCTGGAAGAAAAGACGCGCATATCCGAAGGCCAGGACATGGGCAGACAGCCCGCAGTGGTGAGCAAGGCTGGGCGTGGGGCCTGCAGGCTGGGCCGAGGTGCCACACTGCCGGGTCTCAGAGATGGACAGGGAGATGGATGGGGCCAGGCCCTGAGTCCTGGGACAGGACGGGCCCCCTGGTTGGGAGAGGAGACAACAGAACGAACTATACAAATGTGTGCCCACTGCCTGGGGCCATGGTCACTCGGGGCTGTGGGGCAGGAACGGTCTGTTGACCAGGCAACACAGGAGCCCCAAATGCCACTGTGGACAGTTGTGTGGGACCCCTCTCCCTGGTCTAACAGGTGAGCCCAGCAAGCAAACTGCATAGGCTCTAAGTCAGTACAATAATATCCATGCTGTCCTGTGAAGCAGCTGTGCAGGCCACCTTCAGCCTGTGTCAAATGACCTTGCCACCCCTCCTCTCATTGAAACCGAGGAAAAGGGGTTAAAAAATCTTCCCTAGAACAAAAGCTTTGAGATAAGCTTTGCTAACTGCAGCTGTGCACATTCGGCATAATCAACTGTTGTTCAAAACCAACCAGGTCTTTCTGTCACTCCTAAGTATACAGTGAGCTGTCTTTCCCGGGAAATCAAAGTCCAGACGTCAAGATTCAGCCTCACAAGGCCAAACGCAGGCTGAAGATGAAAACTCACCAGGAAATCCCAGACAGTCAAGGGAAAGAAATTCAGTCTTCAAGGCCAAACACAGGCTGGTGGGAAGGTGTCAACCAGTACGTCCACGTGCTCCCCTCCCCTACCTAAAACCCAGCACACGCTCCCCCTCCCCTACCTAAACCCCCAGCAGTGCTCCCCTCCCCTACCTAAACCCCAGCAGTGCTCCCCTCCCCCACCTAAACTCCAGCACATGCTCCCCCTCCCCTACCTAAACCCCAGCACACGCTCCCCCTCCCCTACCTAAACCCCAGCACATGCTCCCCCTCCCCTACCTAAACCCCCAGATAAAAACCCCTACCTTTTTCCCTTCAAGGAGGTGGGTCTGAGTTCTAACTCCCATCTCCTCCTCTGGCTGCCTTTGGATAATAAACCTCTTTCTTTGACAGAAACCTGGTGCTTCCAGCTTCTGGCCCTCCTGTGCGGCGGCTAAATGAACCTCTGTTTGTGTTCAGTAACATCATGACTGAAGACACCAGGACAGATCCACAACAGGATGAGGTAAAGGGGTGCCTCACTCTCACATTTCCCAGCTGCATTTCCTAGAAACTGAGGGAATGATGATGACCCTGGTCCTTGCTGCCTCCACACAGAGATAGCAGCAGTGTCTCTGAATGCATCTGATGCATATGTCACCTTCAGTGTAAATCTAGAGGAAATCCCAGGGCACTCCATCCCTTGTTTGGGAAATCTAGCTGTCAGTTTTTCCCTTTTCCTCTTCCCTGCGCATGCACTGTTGGTGAAAGAGACATGAGCTGCACTGACTCATACCCCTGGAGCAGTCCCACCAGAGCACCTGCTGAACTGCTTCCTGGGGGCCAACCCCTCACGCTGACGACTGACTCAACTCCCCCACTAACATCACCCCGAGTCTAATTTCAGTTGACACCACCACGAGGACCATTTCTGGACGGGGACTGGAGGCTGAGAGGAGGCCACTGCCAGGTGAGCACATGGACAAGAAAATAAAAACAAACACACACCGTGACCCTAAAAGGAGCGATTCCCCGTAGGAAGAGTTAGCAGGAGGGCTGGCGTGGGAATCCCCTCACGTCTCATGTACACGGATGAGGGCCAGTCTGAGCAACGAGAGACTCAGGGGTGGAAAATGTGCTCACCTCCCGCCCATCTCGCCATCGCTCACCTGGCCGGGTCGCCTCTGCCCCAGAACATTCCAGCAGGGCCCCCCCTCAGGCAACGCTGTTCCTCTGCAGGAAGATCCCCACGTCTCTGCAGGCTCCTCGTCTTCTGTGAGGCCATCGCGGTACAAGAGCGCCTCCTCACACTCTTCTCTCTGCACAGAACTTACAATATTCTGACAATTCCACAGCTACAGTCACTTCAAACACTGCGTCCCTCCGCCTGATCCTAAGCCCCGTTTGAACAGTCTCCGGTCCTCAGCAGATTCCTCATGTGAGGAGGGGAAGGGATGGATGAACGTCAGGCACTGCATCCCCCAGCGTCTGATCCCCATAAAGACCCCGACATTGGCAGCACTCCATGTCACCACATGGCTGTGGGAGAGCCCACACGTGACCTGAGGTTCCACTGGGAGAGCCGCCTGGAGCTCCCGCTGGTCCCTGCTGGACCACGTCCCTGCACCTGCTCTCTCTGCAGACTTTAACTTCATCCTTTCAGGGTCATAATCCACGACTGTGAGTATGAGGTTCTGAGTCCTGTGGTCCTTCTAGTGAATCGTCCTGAGGGAGGTCCTGGGGACCCCCATACATATTTTTTCCACGTTCCTGAAATCAGCATTTTATAATCACTGTACATTCAATATGAAAAGTTTTTGCTAAACTCTATCAAACATAATTTGTCCTCACTCTTTTGGTGATGATGTTAATATGGCTGGTCCCTAGTTCTCGTTGCTTCAATATATAGAGATGCAGGTTGCACTTTGAGTGTGTCCTCTGTAATGTGGGAAAAGAAAAAGAATGTTCCACCACAAGTCAGAAATCTGAGTGCTCTTCCCAAGAACAGAACAGACGCTGTGCCCGTCAGTCTCTCATCGTCTGTGTTTCAGCCCCAGACTCATTACCACTGAAATCCTTGTTCTGAATCCCTGCTCAATATTCCAAATTTAAACTTTTTAAAAAACTTTACCGTAAATTTTTTGCGAAGGGTGAGAACGTATTAATATTTCCTTGGCACTTTATTTCTCACAGTAAATGAGTCATTCAGGTACAAGTATATTTTCTTACTTGATACGCGGGCATCTGAGCCCACCCTGATTTTCTTCCACTGACACCAGCAAAACCAAACTTCTAGGTCTGTAGAGCTCAGCACCAGAGGCTGGACAAGACGGCCCCACAGGGAAGGGGGAGCCAGTGTTCTGGGGGCTCCTGCTTCCATTCACACAGAGCCAAAACACAGGCACAGTTTTCAGAAACAAAATACTATATATTATTAAATACGTAATTTATTGCATAGCAATTGATAAAGTCACAGATTTGGAATATGCAAATTATATTTTCATCATAAGTCTCCTTTCCTCCTTTGTTCATAAATATACAATAAAAGCGCCTGCTTCCCTTAAGTAGACAGAAGACTCCTCTGAACCCCTCAGTGTCACAGAGCTGGAGCAGTGACTCGCACACACTCTCACTCTTCACAGATCGGGACCAACAGTCCACACTGCGGACAGACTGCTGAACCGTCTGTGAACAATTCTGGCTTGAAGGATTTCCCTTAGTGTGAGGACAACAAAAACTAAGATCTCTGTTAACACTGCACTGTAAGCCACTGAATATGAACTTACTAAATAGTTAAAAAATAAAGTTTGTGTTTGTGAAAACAAAATATAACTGTTCCAAAAAACCATTCACACACACCAATGAGAACAGAAAGGGCTGGCCATGTTTCTACACTGATGTAGGTCATTAACTCCAAATTCATACAAAGTTAACATTATTACACTGTTATCACAGGAAACTGAGACCCAGTGAGACAGGCCCATAGACAGAAGGCCCAAGTAACTTATAGGTGGTGAGAATGAACCACAGCGACAATCCCCTGGTGTCCATCAGCTCAGACGTGGTCAGAGCTGTGTGCACGGGGCAGGGACCAGGACGTGTTATCTTACACAGGCTCGTCCACTGCTCCTCTCGGCCCCACCACCACCAGGCCTGCTGTCCACCTCCACTCTCACTCACCATGCCCTCCCACCACTCTCTGTGTTCACGCATTAACCGGCCCAGTGTGTTTTTACTGTCTGTGAATCACCTCATGACATAGTGAACTCCTGAAGCCATACCACTGAACACTCTGAATGGGTAATTTTCAGAAATGCATAACTGGGCATGCTGTCATATACAGTAAGCTTAAAATTTGACTTAACATGGGATGCAATTTTCTTCTTCTTCTGCTTTTTTTTTTTTGCTGAGGAAGATTCGGCCTGAGCTAACATCTGTGCCAATCTTACTCTATTTTGTATGTGGGCTGCCGCCACGGCATGGCCAACAACAAGTGGAGTAGGTCCATGCCCCGCAACCAAATCTGGGCAGCCGAAGTGGAGTGCACCAAACTTAACCACTAGGCCACAGGGCCGGCCCCATGAGATGCTATTTATTAAGTCACCTTTTATGTTCAATACAGAAGTTTACCACAAGAAGAAGAGACTGGAAAAAACTTCAGGTTAAAAGTTACAGATTTATCTAGAAGATGCTATTGACTCACTTCTAGAACTAATGTCTACTAATCTCTACTAAGTTTACCATTGTCTATGAAAACATTACATATCTGGATTTCAAGATCTAATTTTACAGTCTATCAAAGCATCACCTTTTAAGCTGCTAAATATAAGTGCTTTCACACAGACAATTTCTTTTTCTTTTTGAAATCTGAAAATTATGTTTCACAGGGGAAAAAATTTTGTTAAAATTAAGACAACTATTCACAAACTATTTTTTCAGAACAAAATCAAGACCCAATAACATTCCCTTTACTGAACATTCTATTTTTAAAAATTTGGCTCTTTACTCACCTGTCACTCTCAAGCTAGTTCCAGACTGGACGGAAACCAAGGGCGTCCTGTCTCTGAGTCAGGATAAAGAGGCTATTACAAAGGGAGAGTACATCTGTCCTAATAAAATTGATAGCATTATGAGCACCCAAATGCAAAAAAACCAAAATGTGAAACTTAGGAATATAATCAATCTTTGCATTTGTCATAAAAACCTTTTAGTTAACACAGCTAAATAGTAATTGAATATTCTATTTGTAATCTTACATCCTGAAGAACAAACTCTAAGGCTCATTCCACACACACCTTACGTGGGACCCTGACCTCGTGGCCACTATTATGTCGTGACATTCGTGGCTATAATGGAAAAGCAGAGTCGCCCCTAACCTGTTTCGTCCCAGGGCCAAGTCTGTGCCATGTTCACAGCCATCAGTTCATTACACTGAGACGTGTTTCTTCAAGACCTTGCTCCCAAGGTCTGGTCGACAGTTTCCGCTGGCCCAGGGTTTCCTCGTCTCAGCACTGCTGACACTTTGGGTCAGATCATCCCTTGTTTGGGGGCTGCCCTGGGCACTGCAGGGTGTTCAGCTGCATCCCGGGACGCACCCCCTCCGGTAACAACCAGTGTCACCAAACTGCCCCACACCCTGGGGGCAAGATCGCCCTGGGCTGAGAAAACACCGTGACAGGAGGTGATGGTGCCCAGGCATGGACAGCACTCTTTATTACAGTCGTCCCCTTATCCCGGGGCACACGTCCCGGGAACCCCGATGGAGGCCTGAAGCCACAGACAGTACTAAACCCTACACATACTATGTTTTCTCCTGTACACACAACCCGTGATAAAGTTTAATTTATAAATTAGGCACAGGAAGAGACTAATGGCGCTTTGGGGCCATTACTGAGTAAAATAAGGGTTCCTTGAACACAAGCACTGAACTACCTTGACTGCTGGTCTGATAATCCAGACAGCTACGATGTGAACAACGGGCGTGCAGTGTCTATGGCGAGGAGCCACTGGACAAAGGCATGACCCACGTCCCAGGCAGGACACAGCAGGACGGCAGGAGATTTCATCATGCCACTCAGAACTCCATGCAATTTAAAACTTATGAATTGTTTATTTCTGGAATTTTCCACTGAAAATTTTGGGACTGTGGTTGACCTCGGGTAACTGAAACCAAGGCAAGTGAAACCACAGATACGGGGGACTTTTGTATTTAATTTAACATTTTTATATTCATTGAATGTGTTATAATTGATAATAATCAAAGAGATGATGTGAGCTCCTTGGCAAATCACGAAAGGCTCTGCACAGACACCAGCTGTGTACATGGCCGACCCAGAGAGACTCTGACGTCCTACAGACAGACGCAGGGTAACGGACACCTGGGTGGACATCAGGGTTTGTTCTAAAAGCCAGCTTCAGAGTGTGTTCTACAATGTGGACGTCGCAGTAAAGAACCATCGTGACACACACGGCTCGGCTGCTGAACAGGTGGCCCGTGATGTGCATTTTGACCACGGGAGAACACGGGAGGAAAAGCAGCCCAACACCACAGCAGCTGCTGGCTCACTCTTCCTTTCTTCTCCTCTTCCTTTCTTTCCTCTTCTCTTCTAAGTTCTTCAGGTCGGTCATCACATTCAAAGTCTTTCGCACCCACATAACCTACAAGTAACCGTTTACAGACAGGTTAGAACTGTGGAGCGTACACGTGTAAAGAAAACTAAAAGGTGAAACCTGCAGCACACGTACCACGATGATCATGGCGTTCAACAGCAGCGGCGCTGAGAACACTAACGAAATGAACATCCCCCTTGAATC